TATTATATTAAATTTAACAACAACGTTAGTGTTATATTTTAAAAAATATATATTTTTAAAAACTTCAACTATATAGGTGTTTCAGCGCATTACAATGTCAACTAAAATATAAATTTCAGTTCCATTTAAAAAAACTAAAGAATATTTTGTAAATAGTTAAAAGTGACAAATTGTAATGATAAAAGCAAACACTAAATTGTAATTTCAATTTAACTAAAATATTTTTTTAATATATTTTTATAATCGTTAAAAGTTTCTAAATAAGTAGCTAAAAATAACTTACAATAAAAATAGTTAAAAACAGCTCTATATAAATAATTATATTGTTAGCTTTAAAATAAAAAAAACAATGTTTGATGTTTTAAATAATTATAATGATAGAAATTAAAACATTAAGCAAGTAAATTTTAAAAAATTAATTAACAATAAAAACAACTATATATAACATCAAATCATATATTATGTTTAATTTTAGTCATGTGTAACCCGCGGGTAGAAGTCATTCAAACGATTGATATTATGAAGTTATAATAAATGTATATATTATCATATAATTCAAAATAATCAATATATTATATCAATTTAGTATATACAAATTATTATATAAAATTTAATAACAACGTTATTGTTGTATTTAAAAAATCATATATTTGTAAAGACTTCAACTATATAGGTGTTTCTGCGCAACGCGCGGGCATTCGCCTAATATACTTATAAATGAAACATTTTTCCTTTCACCACATTCATTTGAAACTCCCATTTATTTTTCCTTTTTCCACATTCATTTGAAACTCTCATGACTTTTCAATTTCATTCTAATAATGGTTATAAGTTGGTTAATATGGTTAAATAAATATAAAACCTAAAGTGTAATTATATATAAACAAAATTTCAATATTAAAATAATATATTTTATTCTACTTATAAAATTATGTTTTTAACTTTTAACATATTATACTTAATTTATTAGGTCTAATATGTTTTTATATGTAAACTATTATCATTTTAAAGCTACAACTTTTAAACAATTTGTATAAAATACTTCAATTTTAAATTTAAATATAACCTTATAGGTCAACTTAAATATAAATTTTAGTTCAACTTAAAAAGCAAAGAATATTTTGTAAATGATTAAAAATGATAAATTGTAGTGTCTTTCTAATAATGATTATAAGTTGGTTGATAATGTTAAATAAGCATCAAACCTAAAGTGTAATCATATATAAACTAAATTTTAATATTAAAATATTTTTTTTACTTCTACTTATAAAGTTATGTCTTTAACTTTTAACATATTATACTTAATTTATTAGATTTAATATGTTGTTGTATGTAAACCATTATCAATTTAAAGCTACAACTTTTGAACAGTTTGGACAAAATACTTAAGTTGTTAATTTGAATATATGACATTATAGTGTCTACACTAATATAAATTTCAGTTCCATTTAAAATACTCAAATAATATTTTGTAAATAGTTAAAAGTGATTAATTGTAGTGCTAAATGCAAAAATTAAATTATAATATCAGTTTAACTAAAATATTTTCTAAATATATTTTTATAATTGTTAAAGGTTTTCAAATAAGTAGCTTAAAATAACTTACAACAACAATAGTTCAAAATAACTTTATATAAATGATTATATTGTTACCTTGGAGTAATGACACCATAGTACAAGCAAAGAAAATAATAATGGCAACAATTCAAATAACTTTCATCATATTTGATATGAATTTAATTGGAAACACTTGTGTGTGGAATATCAATCAAATAAAGTTTTGGCAACCCAAAAAAAGAGAACCATATAAAGTAAAGTAGGAGTAAGACAAGAAATTTCTTCTTTACTTAGTACAATTTTGTCATTACATCTTTCCCACCCTCATACAACACTATATATATATATATATATATATATATATATATATATATATATATATTAATACTTAAAATGAGTTATTTAGTAGCATTCAATGGTTTTTATTCGATCTATAAAAACACTTTACACAAACAAACATCATTATTCATTATGCAACTTTATTGATACATCAATATCAATCGACAAAATGACATGATTAGAATAATCGTGTATCTGTTATTTTCATTGTGGCAAGCAACTTAATAGAATGACAAAAAAATGTCATCTCAAAAATAATAATTGGCGTGTTTGGGAGAGAGAGAGATAGCTCTCATGTTACCCTTATTATAATAACTTGTTTCTCATGTATTTTATTTCTTCCATAACCTAAGGCCTACTACTCTATGCAATTCTTATCTCCCAAAAAGCAACCTATATTCAAATATCCCACTTGAGATGAACCCGCAAGATGAAGAAAAGAATTAGCTGAATCTTAACTTAGGACAAAAGCTTCAAGATTCTTGTTCAAGATCAAAACCAATTTCAGTAAAGATATGTCATTTCTGCAAAAAGAAGTTTTACAAACCACAAGCACTTGGGGGTCACCAAAATTTTCATAAAAGGGAGAGAGATGTAGTCAAAAGATACCACTTGCTTACCTTGAAAATAAGTTCCCAATTCATCAAACACTTGGTGTGAATTCCCATTCACCTCTAAGTAAACCAAGCACAAATGAAGGGAACATGAAAATGGTAGATTATGGAGCTACATGTTCGAATAATGAGGAGGGAGTGGGTTTAATGCGGTCTGAAATTTTTTTATTTGGATTCACAAACAGCCGGTTCTCAACCTTCGGATATACTTTCACTTGCTTTAACCCTCAAGTTGTGATTTTGGTAAGGTGGTTTATGTATAAACTTTGTTGATTAGGTTTATTTAAATTGTGTTCCTCTTGTGATTATTTTGTTGTGAGTGTGTAAGTCTGTGTGTGTATATTTAAGTTTATATATAGGTAATGGTGAAATTAAATTAAAAATGAGGTGGATATATCATATACATAATACATCAATAAATTTATGATACTCACTTGTACAGAGAGCATATATAATGATGATCATACTTGATTTTATACAAGTTGAGATGCCAATGTGGGACTGTGATGATCCCATATCGGTCGAAAGTAAAATAATTTGGTGGCTCATAAGTCTAGTTCTCCCCTCTTACTACAAACAACAACACTATTTATTGTGTTATCAACAGATAAAAAATGTATAGTATGACTGCCACTATCAGAGTGTTACAAAAAATAGTGCTTGCTAAAATACATAGATATATCGAAGGTAAATAACCTTCGATATAGACAGCTATGTAATGCTTTGACTGTGACAAATGAAGACTTTAACACTTCAATATCGTCACAGCATCTTTTCACTATACAATCTCCCCCTTTGTGATGAATATCTATGTCTTCAAATAGTAGTGGAGTCTCCACTACATTCAATAGAACTCTTCGAATATCCATATACCAACACATTATCTTTCTTATATCCATTCAATCTTCATTAGAATTCTTCTTACACTTGTCTATTCTGAGAAGGATGCTAGTAAGATTCACTATAGAGAACATCTCCTTCAAGTCTTTGTAGAAGAAATACGTATTCTTTCATCCCTTCATATTATTTCCTTGAAACACCACTCCATTGGGTTTCATCAATATTTAACCATATTCACAATCATCAATATTTAAATCATCCTTAAAAACTATGCTTGGGTTCTTTGGATTCTTGTTGTAAGCAGTAGCAAACTCGAAGTCTATTAAACCCAAATAAGAAAAGTAACAATCACTTAAATTCTTGACGTGTTGATATCCAATGATGTATGTTGCTCTATCTTAAACATGATCATTATCAAGCTCTCCCATGAGCTTCACTAGAGTGACAAGATGATTTAGATTCATAAAAGGAAAATTGGCAACAATGAATTCGTAAGGAGTATTGTTTGATATGACAACCTTGTATCGATAATTTGGAATACTGCCTTCAAATATCACATACTTTATTATTGATATTAATTTGATAATGTTTTTCAAGGACATTACTTCCTCCTCTTTCATTACAAGGACATCATGAAATCTTATCTCAAGCTTTTATATTTTTATGTATCTTGATAGTTATCAGGAAGCTTGAACCGAGCAAAAGTAAATATTGAAGGATTGAATGAAAAATCTAATTGATTGAAAGATGAATCTTCTGTTAAGTAGCTATGCTTTTGTTGTTTCTCAAATGCACCAACTTTTCGAAAATCAACTAACTTGATAGTTTCATAACATCAAAACTTGTTAATATCTCCCTTATGGATCATTATCTCTTTGCCTCATGAAGTTGTTGAGTTATTTCATATTCTCTATATCAAGCTTATTTAACGTTTTCTTTTCTTCCTCAAAAATATCAACATGAGTTCCATTTCCTTTATTCTTCTGTCCTGTGGTTTCAGTTGGTTTGATTGTCAAAGATCTTGAACCTCCTTCATTAATATTCAAACCCTTCTTTGAATGTAACTTCGACGTATCAACATTTATAGTGGAATTCAAATTTGTTGTTGTTGCCATTTTTGAACAGGTTTGATAGTAATAGAAATAGGAATTTGATTTGAAAAGATCTTCCCATACACATTTGGTTTCTCATCACCTCCAACATTCTATAATCCCCTTTTTCTCCCCTTTTTGACACAAGCACCGGTCGTAGAGCATTTGTTAGAAATTGAAGCACCAAATCTAGAATTAGAGCAAGCTGAGACTTGAAATAAGACCCTATCAAAGATACAACCTTTGAAATTTCTCATCGGATATCGAAGAAGTGGGTTTGACATCAGTATTCAATAGGTGATCCTGGAAAGTAGTGAGAGAAGTCTCAATGATTTTGAACTTTTTCTCATCCAATTCGTTATTCTTACTCAGTTCTTCCTCATATTCTTTGTTAAAGGCTTGAATATCTTCAATCAAAGTTCTGGTAGCAAAAAGGACATCCACATTCTTTTAAAACATGTACAAAAAGCATCAATCTTCTTAACTTCTTTGGAAACCAAATCATAAAGTTCTTTAACTTTCAATTCAATGGAATCCTTAGAAGTTGTCACAACCTTCTTTAGAAATTCATGCCGTTCTCAAGCAACATTTTGAACTTTAGTAAGATGGAACTTATAAGAAGCCAAATTCTCTTCAATCTAGTCTCAAGATTAGTCACAACATTGTTGGCTAAAAACTTCATCTTCGACTCTTGAGATTTCAACAAAAATTCAACATCTTCTTTGTTTATTGATGAAGAAGAACCAACATAATCATTGAGGAATTGTAAGATCATATTCAACTTAGAATTAAGGATCTTATACTGCTTCCCTAACATGATAGCATGATATTCTATGTTTTCTTCCTCAGAATCAAACTCAAGATCATCAAAATCAACTCTCTCTTCCTCTTCAATATTCATCTTGGGATTGATAGAATGAGAAGAAAATTAAATAATGATGGTTTAGTGTAAGATACACGCAAACGTAGGTGAGTTAAATGAAATTCTGGTAGTATAAATTGTTGAAGGTATCAGTGGTGAAGATGGTGGTGGTTGTGTTATCGAAGAATCCATCAAAGGAGTCTCACCCATATTGAAATTTGAGTCCTTATTAGATAAGTGCCCAGGGATGTTTAAAGACCTAACCTCCTCCATATTGGACATGGTAGTAGGACCTTCGAGTGGTCTAAATGCATTCAACTCAGGAGCATTAATCGAAGTTGTTTCATTGTTTATGATGTTTGTGTCCACATTATATGTGCTCACGATGTGACAACCCGTAAATTTTATCTTGTAAGTCAATTCATATCAACCAAAAGTTCAGACTTGTTTGTATTATCTTTTAGCCTTATCAAGGGTAATTTTATGAATTCTAAGCCTTGTACACTCAAGGATTGGATGTTAAGAGGTGTTATCTTGAGATCAAAGGAACGCATTTGAACCAGAAAACTCATCAAAGGGTGTTCACGGTCGCAAACTAGGTTCACGGCCGTGAACCCATCTTTGACCATGAACCCCTTTCCATATATATATATAAATATATATATATATATATACATATATATATACACACACACATACACACACACACACACATATATATATATATATATATATATATATATATATATATATATATATATTCTTCATTTATCCCTCTCTTGCATCCTTGGCCGAAAACCTCTTAAGTTCTCAGGGCTTCATTTGTGAACACAATCATTTTATATCTATCTTTCATCCAAGTCACTCACAATAAGGTGAGTTTATATCCCTAAAATCAACCTTTTACATGTTTTAAATGCTTTTTAGGGGGGGGGGGGGATACAAGTTGAAATACAATAGAATTGTGTTTGTTTATACATTTGATTACTTGCAAACAAAAGCACTTTACTGTTTTCAAACATTGTTAACTTCGTTTCAAAACCCTTTTCAAACTAATTATAAAATCTTTTTACTTTCAAAACCATATACATATAGATATTTGTGTATAATTATGCTTTAATGGACCTAGGACTAACGTTAATGACCTTGACTCTTATTCCTTGTTTGGTTGTGGGCTTAGGGTAGGATTCACTAGTCCGACTGTCGATTAACTTATGATTATACATACTAAATACTTATATGAATATTAAATCTCATTCTCAAGGTTATACTTAACTTAATTGTTTATGCTTAACAATCGAGTCTTTTCAACAAGTCAGTTATATAGCAAACATACTAGTAAACCATAATAGGTATAGTTTAGAGATCATACATATACATATACATATACAAGAACAAGAAGTAACACTATACATATACATTTACAAAAGGGACATATACATTTAAAAAAGGAACATACACATTTACAAAAGAAACATATGTATTTATAGTAAAACAGAAGGAACATACACACTATACATGTACATGATAACTAAAATGTGAGATACTACTTCATGGCACAACAGTACACTTGTTTTGTCACGTTTTGTAACCGGAGTCTCCTGGAGGGAGAGTGTGAGTTTGTGTATAGATCTATACAGGATTGACCATCCCACACATTGTTGCTAGCTACAGTAGGACTTGCAAGTCTATGGGTGACAAATATCATGCCATTTCGACGTCCGAAGAACGTCGTGTATTATACTAGGTCTATCAAGCATGGTTATAACCTCAATCAAATTTTAACCTAGATTAACCAACTCAGTTACAAGGCAGTAAACTACAAGTAGGGTATTTTAACTTAATACAACTACTCATCTTCATTTTCCATTACTTATACAGTGATTTCACACAAGATTAATGCCTATTATCTTTTTAGTAAAGGAAATTACTATTATGGAAAACATACATTTTTATACTATACAAACAGTCGGGTCTTGGGTAGGAGACTGTATTTCATTTTAAAAGGAGAAAATATAGGATTTCTGGGAAAGATACGAACATTTTTACTAAACTAATGCAAACCCCTTTCATGAAACAAATGCGAACAAATGACACTAAATACTTATGAACTCACCAGCATTTATGCTGATACTCTCTTTCAAAATAACTTGTATTCTTAGAAAACCATTAAGGCAGGTACAGTTGTTCAGCATTTGAGGAGACAGAGCGGAAATTAAGACTTGTCTTATTCTTTTGTTTCACATTCATTTTTGGTGTCATTTAAACTTTACAAAGAACACACATGTATTAACTATACTATTTAATGCAATGGATGTTGTTGCTTGATTTACTATTATGCGTTGTTATGATATTGTACATGACGTCCTACATCCCTGAATGTTTCCGCCAATTCGGTTTGGGGGTGTGACAAATTGGTATCAGGGCATTGTTTATAGCAAATGAAGTATATAAACCCATAAAAGATATACAACTATAAATACAATGAGATTAAAACACACTAACCAAGAGTTATACTTTTAAAATATAACAAGTATTTTACTAAAAGTATACATACATGCATTCATACTAAGATTAGTATCATACTAGAACATAACAAAAGTATTATGATTGTTGAACAACACAAGTAGGCTTGGGGATGTATAATCAAGTCTGGGAATGACATAGCTTGATCAACTATGTCTATCCAAGAAGTGATTAGAACATGCCTAGGAATGGTTGTGGTGTTGCAACAAGTCTAAAACTAACCAACAACTATCCATAAAGAAACAGTGAGAACATAAAACAAACTTAAAATACTATAAGAGTATTTTGTGTTAATATTAATTTATGTGAAAACTAAAGACCCTTATTATTAGGTCTATAGTTATGGAGTGGATACACTAATTTTATATATAAATAAGACGCTATAGACTCAAAATCTATGACTTTCGCTTTACTTCATGTTACTTGTTTGGTTGTGGACTTAGAGTTGAGTCATTTATTCGAAGGTCTATTTTGTCTCAATTTATATATAATTAGTATACATTACAGGATTATAGAAGTTAATAATGAGGATCACCCCTATAAGTATTAATAGTTTATTCATCTATTAATTACCTCTTTTACCCCTATTCTCGCGTAGATATCATGGCGGGATTTCATCCTCCTAGAGATCCGTACTTCCCTGATCAAGGGAATGAAGGTTGGATAGAGTCCGAACCGAAAGAAGAATTCGAGGAAGAAATGTACGAAGATTCTGACTTAGATCCTGAAGCCAATGATCAACCACTAGTGGCTCCGATGCCGAATTTTAAACCTCGACCTGAATTTCAAAGCCAACGCCTCTGTGGGCAGAGAGTTTCAGTAGGTGGCGCCATGAACAAGGCCAACCTCTTCCGTACAATGGAGACCGCAACTTCTATAACCTGAGCGAGGGAGGCTCCGCAGACGGAATCCTTCCAATCTTGGTTCCCCGAGTTGCTCGCAATGATGAGCAGAGTAGGGCAGCTATCCACCAGTGTAACAACCCGTCATTTCAGGTCATTGAAGATCGAGTCTTGTTACCTCTTTGAAAAATGGATTAAAATATCATCGAAAAAATGAAGTATTCAAAAGCTCTGTTTGGAGTACGTTATGTAGTAAATATCATCCTAAGGTTTCCAAGCATATAAAGAACACTAAAATCCGAGTTATAACGAAGAAGTTATGACCATTCTAAGTTTTCCGACAAAAACCGGCAATACGAAGTTACGTAAAAACGCAAAGTTTCAATAAAATACTTTTTGACCTTAGGTGTCTAAATGAAAGTCATAGATATCGTTAAACTACAAATGTACATAAAAAGAACGCCCAAAACGGACATCGTATGAAAAAGTTATGAATTTTTAACGAATTTTCTTACCCCGACCTTTTAAAAAATACATAATAAAAATAATTTCGGAATTTGCCGACGGAGTCTAAACGAAAGTTGTAGATCTTAGTCTCACCTACGCGTGGATATAAAGAACGTCGAAAACGGGTTTCATATTAAGGAGATATGAATTTTTGAAGTTTGATAAATAATTAATATATATTTTTATTGAAAACTTCGGTATTATCCGAAGTCTGAGTCACGCGAGTACGCCCTGCGTACACGAGTACGCCCAGCGTACTCAAGGCCTTGGCCCCGGTTCATCCACGTCGCCCCCTATGCGAGCTACGCCCTGTCCCATCCGAACTCCGGGGCAGTCGAGGACTCGGTCATGCATGACGCACGGCTATGCCCCGTGTACGCTCGTACGCCCCGCGTACCGAGGCCTCTCAGCCCCTATAAAAGGGATGCGAGGGTTCCGGAAAACTTGCTCATTTCCTCTCATTCTTCTTGCGTTTTTCCTCGTTTTCCATGCTCGTGCAAACCCGAAGCCCTGGTCGCTTAGCTCAAGTTCCGAAGGTCGTTTATACTCCCGAGATTCCTGAGAATCCCAAGAAAATCCGCTATTTCAAGCCAAAATTCTGCTCGGTTTTCGTCACACCTTCTTCAAACTATCAAGTGAGTTCATACCCCCTTCAAACACATTTTAAATACATTTTAAATGCTTTTATACTCTTTTAGGGGGGGAATACAAGTAAACATACGGCTATTATCATGTATTTTATAAAATTTCACTTCACTTGTTTTTATCAAATAAATCACTTGGAATTCATTACTACTATGGAAAACTCTTGTCATACTTTGCGTGCATTAGACTTATACAAGGTATTTAGTGATTTCAAAGTACCTGTCGTTGGTAAGTCGGTTTATACATTCTAAAAACTTATGATTTATGCTTTGTCAAACATTGTGAAAAAGGATAAACTTTGCATACAAAACTATTACTTAAATACAGACTTAGTTGAGAATCCATGAGACGTGTATATCTTCAAATACTACCTTCTTGTTAGAAAGTAATACTACATGTCCTGTCTATAACCAGAGTCTCCCGTTAGGAGAACGTGTCAAATGTGTATAGATCTATACGGGAAGTCATGATCCCGCGCCCTGACTGTTAGCTACAGTCCATCCTTTGGGGTGACAGTTG